CTTCCTTGTTCAGTTTCTGTGAGAAACGAAAGCATTGGGGTGGCATATGCCACAACAGCAATCATCAGCTGGCAAGGCTTTCGATGGTTTCCTCTTTCAAGGGCTGCTTGTAAGTAAACTGGTAACTGCCGTAAAAATCGACACCGCAGATTTAACAAGATGGAGTTTTACGGATTTAAAAACTCTGTTAAATCTGTACAGTTCCGCGCACCTGTTAAATCTGTGTAGTTTCGCGCAACGAAATACAGGACTTTCATGCAGACTTCACTGGATTGGACCATACAGATTTAATTTTAAAAATTTTTTTTAAAAAACTGGATTTAAAAAGTTTAAAAGTCTGAAGTTAAAGTCAAAAAAAAAGATTAAAAAAAGTTTTAGATTTAAAAAGTTTAAAAATTTAAAGTTAAAAGAGCCATAAAAAAGGATTAGAAAAAATTTATTTTTTTTACAGACAAAGTTCACATTTATGGGTGTCAACTACTATACGGTATTTCGGAAGAAACAGATGCAGCGACAACTGGACGAGTTTGAAAATTGGCTCAAACAGATGGACGACCTATCGGCACAAGCTGTACAACTGGCCGCACAGAACAAGAAGAGCTGATTTTTGTGATCGCTGCGCGAAATTGGCTTGGCACGGAAGATGATCAAGATTTCCGGTAAGCGTGATGCAAGAAGCAGGAATGCTGGTGATTATACTTGTAATTATATGCGAATCCAAGGGGGAAAGGGCGGGGGAGGGAATGGATCTTTTGGCACAGGCACCAGTGCTGCAAAAGTCCGGATTTAAAGCTAAAACTGAAGAAAACCCTCTTCCGCCTCCCCATGAAGCCGCCCTGGATCCGCCTATGCTTGTAATAAAACATTTGTAGAAGTTTTTTATTTACAATAAAATTCACAAAAAGTATTACACAAAAGAAATCAAAGCAAAGGAAGAAGTTGTCAATGGTGTAAACGAAGTTCTCGATGACTGTTTCAAATTTCTAGAAAATTTACTGCAAAAGGAAAAGTCGCAACTGCGAAGCTGAAATTTTAGGGGGAATGTTCCCTGTCCAAGTACAATATAAATATTTCAAACTCACAGCCTCCTCTCCAGGTATGCGTGGCCTCCTCTCTAGTAGGGGCACTTGAAAGTTTTGGCGGGAAAATTGCTCACTGAACAGCTAGGTCATTTTCAAAGAACGGTTTAATGGAAAGACCAGGTAAAGACAAACTCCTATTAGTGGAAACTGGAACGAAAAATATTTCAATAAAAAATCATTCATTTAAAAAAAAGTGAAGCACAGCTGCAGCAGAAATTTGTTTTGTATTCTAATACAATAAAATACTTAAAAAATATGTGAAAATGAATGCTTTAATCTTCCAAAATATTGTTATCAAGATCCACAGCATTTAACATGCGTTCTGCAAGTTCATTTATACGCATCACCTTCGCATGATCCTTTATAAACTGAGCTTCCATTTCCAAATACTAAAAAAAATAAGGGCAAAACTGTCCGATTTTTTAAATTACGAATACCAGAATTGCCGGAACAGTTCCCTTGGGAATCTCATACTAATGATATTACTGGGACACCCAGGGATATCAGCTTTCGACACTGAGTTGCACATTTTTTGATAACAAACCAGTGTTTTTTTTTTCTTTTTGGATAATTTTTCTTTTTTTTTGAAAATCTTGTTTTTTCCGAAATTTTTTGGAAGAAATTTACAAAAAAACCAACTGTATTTCACAACCTAAGCCTCCATTTATGCAACTGGCAATTTTAATAATAATAATAACGGCAATATTAATAATAACACTGATAATACGACTTTAGTAACACAATAACGATAAAAATACGCATAATAACCAAAAAAACA